TTGACAGTACCCTTAAATCCTTCCTGTGCCCTTGCCTCCCGATCAACACTCCTGAATCCCTTCTGCATCCTGGTTCCGTCCTCCTCCTCTCCATCAGTGCTCTTAAATGCTGTCTGCATCCCTGGCCCTGCATCCTCAGCCCCATCAGCACCCCTGCATCCCATCAATATGCCTTCATCCCCTCTGCCTTGCCCTCCATCAGCACCCCTAAATCCCCTTGCATCCCTGCCCCAGCCTCCCTGGGTCATCGACCTAGTGGGAAGGCCCAAGCCCCACCCTGCAATGGCCAGGCCGGGCTTAGCAGCATCCCTGGGGCCCCTTTGGCTGCGAGAAGCTCAGACTGAGCCTACCCCAGGCATAGGGGATCCTGCTGCCCCCCCTGGATCCTCCCTTAGCCCCACTTCTTCCCAGTGCTGCCAGGGCAAAGCTGGCAGGGCACTGGGGCCCAGCACTGATCCCAGCTGATTTGTTCCCGGTTTTGACCTTGATGCCTGGCCTGGCTGGTGCGCAGCCCTGCTTGGGGACCTGCACACCCCACTGCCCAGCCTCTTGCCCCACCGAGGCTCCTCCTGCCTCCCCCGGCATCCTGGGGCACGCACATCTTCTCCCTGTTATTGCACTAATTAGTATAGCACAGTCGCTGCTGGGTGATTCAGGGCACCGACTGTCCCATCCCTCCAAGGGGATGCCATCAGCGCTCCCCAACGGGGCAGGATGTGAGGAATGGGGTGCGCACCCGGGCCCTGCAGGGAAACGTCGGCTCTCCTGGCACCTCTCCAAAACAAGGTACCCTCAGGGCTCCCTGCTCTGGAGGCTGGACCGTGGATTGGGTGCCCACAGAGGCAGGATGGGAAGCCACCTCCGTGCCACTCAGCATCCTCGCTACCGTTCCCACGGGTCGGTTTTCGTAGGAGGGAGCTGGATGGGGCGGATGCCAGGGTGACCTGCGTGTCAAGGAGCATGCCTGGCTCCCAGTGGCAGGTCCTCCTGTGCCGCTGGCGCTGAGACAGCGAGAAGCGACTTGTCTGCCCATCACCTGCACCACAGGATGGTCCCACGTGGGTCCCCACCTTACGTTGGCTCCCACCTGGGGTGGTACAGGCTCCATCAGTGTGCCAGCACCACATCCCTCCCCATCCCACTCAAAGGAGATGTTGGGCATTCTGTAGCTTGTGTCCTTTATGCTAAAAAAGATCCATTTCAGAGCTCTTATCTCTGTTTTGAGTTTGGCTTTCAAAACCTGCTGCTTGAAATGCTTCTATGCCTCTTTTCTTCATCTCTTATCTCAGGGACCCACTGATCTTTCCCGGGGAGGTGGTGGTGGAGAGGTGCAGCAGGGGAGTGGATGCTCAGCACCTGGGTGGGCTCCGACGATTATGGGAGTGGAGCATCTCCCTTCTGAGGAGCGGCTGAGGGAGCTGGGGCTCTTTAGTTTGCAGAAGAGGAGACTGAGGGGAGACCTCATTCGTGTTTATAAATATTTAAAGGGTGAGTGTCACGAGGATGGAGCCAGGCTCTTCTCGGTGACAAACAATGATAGGACAAGGGGTAACGGACACAAACTGGAACACAGGAGGTTCCACTTCAATTGGAGAAGAAACTTCTTCTCAGTGAGGGTGACAGAGCCCTGGCCCAGGCTGCCCAGAGAGGTTGTGGAGTCTCCTTCTCTGCAGACATTCAAAACCCGCCTGGACGCCTTCCTGTGTAACCTCATCTGGGTGTTCCTGCTCCGGCAGGGGGATTGGACTGGATGAGCTTTGGAGGTCCCTTCCAATCCCTAACGTTCTGGGATTCTGTGTGACGTGATGCCCCGGCCACTGGTTTTGGGCTGTTCCCTCTCAGTTATGGACCGTGCCCTCGGTCAGGGGTGAGACGAGGTGGAGCCACGTTCCCTGCTCTCGCCCAGCCATGGTTAGCCATCCCTTCCCTTCTCCTGGCAGCCTCTTCCCGCTGGGGCAGAGGCCGGGCAGGCAGAACCAGATGGGCAGGCAGCCGCGGGCAGAGCTGCCTGCTCCCAGGTGAGGGCAGGGCTTGAAAAGCCTGGTCCCGCCTCACATGGCTTTCTCTGTGCTCCTGCCACCCAAAAAGTAGGGCGCCAAACTCGGCACGCACCGCGGCTTTGGGTATTTGGGGCTTGGAAAGCATCAGTTGTTCTGCTGTGAGGGGTGAGCCATGATTTCAGGGCCTGGAGGAGCCATGCAGCTGGAGTATTAGGGGTTTTCCCTCATATCCGTAATGGCTATGGACAGTGGGGTGGTTTTTGGGGCCACAGAGGGTCTGAGTTGTGCTGACACCGCATCCCCTGTCCCTGCAGAGTGGAGGCCTGCGGTGATGCTGGCAGCTGTCGACTGCGCTGACGAGGCCAACCAGCAAGTGTGCATTGATTTTGGGATAACTGGCTTCCCCACGCTGAAGGTAAGGGCTGTGTGCGCCGGGCACTTGCCTGGTTTCCCTGTGCTTTGCTTTTTAGCCTGTCCCTCTCTTGCTCAATCAGATCAACACTGCTATTGCACCAAAATATTCCCTTTGGGGCTTGGCAGGCTGGAGCTGTTTTACCCTTCCCCAAAACATAACTGCGGCCAGGCTGCAGCCAGTGGGACTGCCGGGTGATGTAGCAACAAGGAGGGGGAAAACCAAAATGCTGCTTCATGATGAAACGTAGAGGCTGAATCTCTCCTAGGACAAGGGAGAATCTGAAACCTGAATTAGAAATGCCCAGAAAGGGCTGCTGAGGGGCAGAGGGTGATTGCAGGTTTTGGAGGAAGGCATAGGGATGCTGCAGGAGGCTGCACAGGGCTCTCCTGGGAGCCTCCTGCGGTGGCTGGCGAGGCACCGTCCCTGCTCCTGGGCCCGTGCCCGCCCCTGTAGCTGTGTCAATACACCGGATCACTGCGTTTCCTACTGCAAACAGAGCCAGACTCCACACAAGCAATAAAGCTGAAGCATTCCAGGTGCAGCAGTGAAAGCCAGGACTGCCTTGAGATGGAACGTGGGTGATAAGGGTTTCATGAGACGTGTCCTCAGTCCCAGCTTACAGGCTCAGCCCAAGGTGGGGTCAGTTCTGGGGCTTTGCCAGGCAGGTTGGCTTGTGCCCCAGCCCTGCCCTGTGGTCTCACCAAGCACCACCCACCACCCATGGGACATTGACCAAAACACCTCCCAGAGCAGGGACAGGTGCTGATGTGGTGGTGCTGAGAAGTCGCTTGCTTCGCATCGCCTGTCCCCGCCAAACAGCTTTTGCAAACAGCCTGCGCTCCCAGCCCAGCCTGCAAAGCAAACACCTGTCTGACGCAACCCAGTTTCGCCACTCTGGCTCTACTGCGGGCACTGGAGCCACTGTGAGGGGAAAATCCACCCTCTCCTGCTTTGTGAGAGCTCTGGAGCAGGGTTTGGGAAGGTCTCAGCTGCCTCCTTGGGACCTCTGGAGGTGCCTGCCAGCGCTCAGCTGGTGGCTGGATGTGGCTCCTAGCCCATACTTGCATGGCTCCTCTCCAGGGATGGCCCATGAAATGAGGCCGTGTCCGGGAGCTCCCTCTGCAGGGGCTGGTGTCCCACCAGTGTGCTGAAACATTGTGGGGAAACTGAGGCAGAGCCAGTCTGGGGAAAGCCTCTGCTTGCTGGGCTGCACTGCCTCCCTGTCCATCTCCAAACACTCTCACTCCAGCTTCCTCATGTCTTTTTTTCCCTTTCAGTTCTTCCGAGCTTTTAGCAAGAAGGCAGAGGATGGGATAAGGATTACTAGTGAGTATCAGAGCCACAAGGGCATTTTGTCCTGGGTGCAAATGGCCCTCCTGCCCACAACCCCCATATGTTGGCACCTTGGAGAGCCTGGGGTTGCAGCTCAGAGCAGCTCCCCTCAGCTCAGCCCATGGGACCGGCTTCTCCAGGACCGACCTCTTGGCATCCTGTCCCCCTGCAGATCCCAGCGCCACTGTTGAGGACCTGCGCCATGCCATCATCACCAACCTGGAGCAGAGCCAGGATGCCTGGCCGCCCGCCTGTCCTCCGCTGGAGCCGGCGAGGTAGGGGCAGTGTGATGGGGGTGGCTCTGGTGGCCTCCACCCCACGGAGAGCAGGTTTCTGGGGAAATCCTGAGCCAAAAATCGGCACGGAGCAGCTGCTGCATCGCCCATGTCCCAGGGAGACACAGATGACCTGGCCAGGCTAGAACCATTTACGAGGCCCAGATGAGACTGGCCACGTTGTTACATCTCCTAACGAACCTGCTCATCAGCCTTAGTTAGAGCAAACAGTGCCTGGGTTAGGGATGTGGCAGTGCTGTGCTGTGCCGAGCTGAGTGAGGCAGCTGCTGGTAGCAGCTTTTCCTGCCCTGAGAAAGGATTTTCTTGATTCAGTATGAATTTGTTGGGGTCTGAGTTGTCTTTGCTGGACACAGGTGGTGTGCCACTGTCCCAGGGGGAGTATTTGGCTTTCCTAAATCGATGGTTGAGCTGGGCACATGCTTCAGGTCTCTGGTGCCTCCATGTCCTAGCCAAAAAAACCCCCAGCCCTGATTGAAGTTCATTGCTGTTTATTCCCCTGGGTGAGCATGCACCTCCCTCCTGCCCTGCCCTGCCTGCGCTTTGTTTTCTGCCTCCTTGGCTGACCCCGGCGGCTTTTCTCAAAGCCTGTGAAATGGAGCAGAAAATTGAGCTGGAAACTTCAGCGGGGAGGAACTGCCTGCTCAGTGGGTCTGCACCCGCGCTGACATCCTGTGCCAGGCCACCAGGGATGAGGGCTGAGCTCCTTTCGGATGGGAGGGCAGAGCATCCGACTGATGCTGAGGCACCCACTGCCATCCTCTTCTCTGCTGCAGCGCGGAGGAGGTTCGCACCTTCTTCCAGAGGAACAAGGACCGCTACCTGGCGCTGATCTTCGAGAAGAGCGACTCCTTTGTGGGCAGAGAGGTGGGTAGAGCTGCGTTTATCCCTCATTTCTCTTGAAGCCCATGTCCCTGGTGCCCAAATACCTCCTGGGTACCTTTGGCTGGGAAGTCCTCTCCCAGCAGTCTCCCCAGTTGGCTTGCGTGCCGCTTTGCAGGCATGAAGTGTTATGCAGGGTGCTAAATAGCTCTGCTACATCCCTGCTGGGGCTGGGGGTCCCGCTGCCCCCCCGCCTGACCCCAGGGCTGCTGGGCTTGCAGGTGGCACTGGACATGCTGCAGTATGAGAACGTGGCAGTGAGGAGAGTGCTGAGCAGCGAGGAGGAGCTCGTGAAGAAGTTCGGCGTCACCACTTTCCCCTCTGCCTACCTGCTTCTCCGCAACAGCTCCTTCTCCCGCCTGCCCGTGTGAGTGCAGGGTCACAAGGTGGGAACAGGGGGATGGGTTTGGGGTTCTCAGGGTGCTGAAGCCTGCTGGAGTACCAGACTTATGCCCCATATCACCATTCTCCTTTGAAATTGTGGGAACATTTGTTCAGAAGGAGGCAGTAGCTGAGTTGAGCAGACTGGTGGGGGCAGGGGGCTGCTGGTGGGCGCTGAACGGGGCTGCTGGCCCTGCCTGGAGCTGGCGAAAGGGAAAATGGCTTGTGACCAAGCTACCCCTCCGCCACATCTGCCTGGAGGTGACATGGCTTGACTCCCTGAGGCTCAGCTCTGCTTCGGGTTGGGTGCCAGGATACTCGCCACTGGGGTGGCTGGAGAGCATGGAGCACCCTACGCTTGCTCTCGAGGTCTGCACTGCCGGTCTGGCTAAGCCTTTGATCTCCTTTGCTTCCTCCACGGGGCTGGGTGCTGTTTGGGAGGGAAGAGAGCCTTGCTCACGGCTTCTCCTTCCTTGCAGGCACATGGAGGTGCGCTCCTTCTACTCCTACTACCTGCGCACGCTCTCGGGCGTCACTCGCGGCTCCTACAAGCTGGACAGAACCACCAACGCTTCCAATGAGACCAACGTGTCCCAGCCGAAGGACGCCGACCGGTCAGACCCCCACTCATCATTCTGGGGCTGTGGGAGGTCGGGACGAGTGTGGGGAGGAGGTGCTGTGGGCAGTGGGTTGGGACAGTGCCTTTTCCTTGGGGAAAAGCCCCAAATCTGAGGTCATGGGGGTACAGATTAATAGGCTGACAGAGCATCGTGTTGCACTGCCCTCCCCAGCTCCAAGTTGTACATGGCTGACCTGGAGTCCACACTGCACTACTCGCTGCGGGTGGAGGCTGCCCGTGCTGCCGTGCTGTCAGGAGCCCAGCTGGCTGCCTTCAAGTGCTATGTGGCCGTGCTGGTGAAGGTGAGGAGCTTTCAGTGTCGGGAGGGGGACTGCCTGTGCCTCCACGTAGCTATTTATGAGGTGAAATGCAAACACAGGGTGCGGCTGTGAAGCGCAGCGAAGCATTGCGGTCTCAGATGTGAGCCCGGTGTCCCAGTGCTCAGGGCGTCCCACAGCTGCTGTGGGGCTGTCCCCATCACCATGGATCTCTCAGCTCAGCCCAGAGTCCCAACAGAAGCCAAGAGCAGGTGCTGCAGAGTTTCAGGCGAGATGTGGGGTGCAGGTATCAGTGGGCAGAGCAGGATCTGTCGAGATGGTGTCGAGACGCTGTTACCCGCTGGGGTGGCAGAGGTGACCAGAGGGGTTTGTAACTCTGATCCCCTGACTTGGATGCTTTGCTTGGGGAGCTGTTCTTTATGAAGCCCTTTGATAGCCAGGGAAGAGACTCCTGCTCTGAGTCAGGCTCTGGAAGAGCCTGATTTAAGGTCTCCTTTTTTCTTCTCTGTTGAGCTTGGTAAAATCAAAGTGTGTAGGAGCTCTGAGCCAGCAAAAGCAGGGCAGTTTAATTTCCTGGTGTGACAGAGTGCTGTGTTTGGCTGAGGTTTCCACCACTGAGGTTGCAGGAGCCTTGTCCTCATCCTTGTCCCAGCCCGTGCTCTTTGGCAGACCTTCACTGGGCCATGCCCATCTTTACTCCCTCCTTTGTCACCCAGGGTCTTGCATTCAGTTTGGAGCTTGCATAGCCCTCACTGGTGGGCAAGACCCCCTGCTCCCACCCCTGGCCCTTTACCCCCAGAAAAGAGCTCCAAATGCAAGCCAGTGGTGCAACGAGTCTCCAGTCCTCAGCTCAGAGCTTCATGTGGCTCTTCCTCTGCTTGCCCCCAGCTATTGCCCTCACTGTTTCTCCTTTTAGGTGATTTTATTTTATCACCTTTTAATTCTTCCTGCCAACCTTCCCCTTGCTGCACAAGCATAGGATTTGGAGAGGAGGCAAAGCTGCATTCTCGCAGCTGGCAGGAGGCACCCGGGTGGTGGGTGGAGGCACCAGGGTGGTGGGTGCCGGTGCTTTCTGGAGGATGCGGAGCCGGCGCTGCCATTTCGGCGCTCATCCACTGGACGGAGCAGCATCCCCAGGATTGCTGCCAGCCCGGCAGGGCTCAGGCTGGGGGAGCTCAGCCAGCGGGTCTTAGCTTAACTGTTGCGTTCCCAAGAGGTATTTAAGGCAAGGATGAAGGAAAAGAATCCTAACGTGGAAGAAAGTGTCTGGAAAGCAGAGCATTGCACGGCAAAGCTTCCTACTGAAGGAGCAGGTGGGATGACTGTGTTCTGCATCAGAAATATCAGATTGCAGATGAATTCCCCTGTGGATTTGGGACTTTGGGTGTTATTCCCCCTGGGCCTGGGGGAGAACAGCTCAGTCTTAGCAAAATGCTCCTTCTTTTCACTTCCCTGTTGCTTTTCTTTTGTGCTGCTGGTCTCATGTCCCTGTGGATCGTCCCTCTGTCTGTCCAGCCATCGGTGGCACGTGCTGGCGGGCTGCCCCTCTCCCCAGAGCGCCTGTGGTTTTAAAGTGCTGCTGCTAATCAGCTTTGTGCTGACTTATGGTCAGAGTGGCTTTTTGCCTCCCTCAGATGGGGCTGAGGTTCAGAGCCTGAACATGCACTCAGGGGCCTTGCCGCCGTGGCAGGGTACACACTGCAGCCCCCAGCCCCTTGGTGCTACCCAATGCCTGTCCCAGCAAGCCAGGGGGGCCAAGGGACTGCCCTGCTGCTTGTGGAGGAGTCTGGGTTTCCTCACCCCTCTCTTCCCTCTGCAGTACTTCCCCGGGCGCCCCAGCGTGCAGACGTACCTGCAGTCCCTGGATGGCTGGCTGAGGAACTGGACAGAGCCTGAGCTGCCCCGCAGCACCTTGAAGGAGGCCATGAAGAATAACAGAGATGTAAGGCACCCGTGGGGACCCTGGCCCCCACTCCCCTCTCCTCACCCCTACCCCACCAGCCCGCATTATCTACCAGCTCCATCATGCCGTGTCCGTCTGTCCTCCAGGCCTCCCACCCTGCCGTGCTCCCCACCAATGTGACCTGGGTGGGCTGCCAGGGCAGCGAACCCCAGTTCCGCGGCTACCCTTGTGGGCTCTGGACTCTCTTCCACCTCCTGACCATCCAGGCTGCCCAGAATGGCCCTAACAAAGGTATCAGCATCCCTGGAGGGGTTCAGGGCTCAGGGAGGGGGTGTCCAGGCAGGTTTTGACACAGGCAGGGATGCTGTGTATGGGTCAAGACTTGTCTCACCCTGGGGCAGGTCTGTGGGGAGGGCAGGAGCTGCAGACTTGGGATGCAGGGCTGCCACCTCAGCCATGAGACTGTGGTGGTGGCACTGCGAGGTCCGAACTCGCCCTCCTGTCCCCCCCTGTCCTCTGCTTCCCTCCCAGAGCTGCCGCTGGAGGTGCTGAGCACCATGCGCTGCTATGTCCGACACTTCTTCGGCTGCCAGGAGTGTGCCGAGCACTTTGAGGCCATGGCGGCCAAGTCCATGGACCAGGTGGCCAGCCGGGAGGAGGCTGTCCTCTGGCTCTGGTCCCACCACAACGAGGTCAACGCTCGCCTGGCGGGTAAGGAGGAGGGAGCCGCAGGGAGGGGAGCTGGGGTGGATTCCCAAGAGGAGGCGAGGTGGAAGAGCATCCCTCCTCCTGGATGAAGCTGACAAATGGCTGCAGTAGGGTGCAGCCTGGGGACATCCCCTTGTCCAGCCGGGAGGAGGCTGTCCTCTGGCTCTGGTCCCACCACAACGAGGTCAACGCTCGCCTGGCGGGTAAGGAGGAGGGAGCCGCAGGGAGGGGAGCTGGGGTGGATTCCCAAGAGGAGGCGAGGTGGAAGAGCATCCCTCCTCCTGGATGAAGCTGACAAATGGCTGCAGTAGGGTGCAGCCTGGGGACATCCCCTTGTCATCGTCCCCCGTCGCAGGGGACAGCAGTTGGTCACACAGCATTAGACTGTCCCGGAGATGCACTTGGGTCTTACACGCTCCCTGCAGGGAGTGTCCCAGAGCCACCACATGCCCTCGGAGGACCCCTCCTCTTGAGACAGCTCCTTCAAATGTCCTTGTCCCCATCCCTATCCCCAGCTGCTGGGTGCTCCGGGGTGCTTATCGTTCAGCGGGAGGGCTGCATCGTCGTGTTTCCCTCTAACCCCTGCGCTGGCTCTGCTCCCTGCAGGAAGTGACACAGAGGACCCCAGGTTCCCCAAGCTGCAGTGGCCTCCACCAGACATGTGTCCCCAGTGCCACAAGGAGGAGCGGGGGGTGCACGCCTGGGAGGAGCCAGCCGTGCTCACCTTCCTCAAGGCGCACTTCTCCCCTGACAACGTCTACCTGGATTATGTCGAGGTTGACCCAGTCTCTGCAGCTGAGGAGGAGATGGGCGGCAGAATGGGCACTGATGGCCCCCGAGAGGAGAGGGAGAAGGAGAAGGAAGAGGAGGAAAAGGAGACAGAGGGGGAGATGAGGGCTCTGGTGCGGCCGGGCTCCCCCGAGCCGCGGCGCCCCAGCATTG